AGTTGCAATAATCATAAGTTCAAGGATCATTAATGGTCATAAGACACATTACTCAATGCTGTTATAATTTTGAATAGTCACTAAACAAATGATTGTACATTGAGGACAACCTGTAGTCCAACAATACCTATAGAACATCAAAATCTCCATCCCTGCAACACGAGATAGGTAAATTAAAAGAGGGTTACAAGGTTACATAGGTATGAAATGATTTTTGGGCTGGGAGACCACCATACAGATGAAGTTCTCTGCTGTAGCTGGAGGTTGGAAGGATCTATTCTGACTTGTATCATCTTCTCCAAGTACATCAACCAGGTCCTCCTCCAAATTCTGAACACTTTCTAGCTGGAGATCTTCGACTAAGAACATCGATGTCCTGCTTTGAGCAATGGTGGGCATCTCAAATGAAGAGAAGGCACAAATGTTCCCTGCAGAAGCTGCTTTGGACAAGGAAGGGCTCCAAGAGACATCTACCTGAGAAGATGAATTGACCAGGTCTATTTGTTCAATCACTGTCACTCTTCAACACTACCTCCAAGGATCTGACAGTCCAAACCACCTTCTTTCTTGAAATTGTCCTCTCAGTGCCCAAGTCCAAGTTGACTCCCTCATCCTCTTCTCAAGAGCTCAGGTTCACAAGTGGACACCTGGTGTTTTACACCCCAAGGACTTCCAAACAGCAGTCACATGGTAAGCTGTTTTTCTCAGTAACACCGATTTGCTAACCAGTGCAGTGTGTGTAGCTTATGACTGTCTTCCTGTACGCCTACATCACTGTCAACTCCTGAAAGAGGGAAGACAACTTCTTTCTCCTGCCTCTCTCATTGTAGCATCACTCCCTTGTGTCAGTCAGACGTTGATTCCCAATCTATACCCGGTTGTGGGATAGACGTGACTTGGGAAGCAATGGGACCACCAGCAGTTGATGATGCCGACGTTTTCGAGAACCGATGTCCCTAGACCCCTGGGTTGACGTTGTTAGAGATAGTGGCTGGATTACAGGAATCCTTTTCTGGTGGTTGCGAGGGTGGGTTTGTGCCTTTGACGGAGTGATGTTCTGTAGCTTTTCAGAGGTAGTTGGTAAAGAAGGGAATGAAGGCCAAGTCAAGAAGATCCTTTCTGGCTTGCTTGAAGATCCCCGGTGGCTCTTCCGCTGTAGGCCGGGGGCAGATGGTGGCCCTGTTTGAGGTTTCTTCTGGACTGTTGTCAATAAAGGCTTGGGTTGAGAAGATCTTACTTGGCCAACAAATGTCTCGGGTCTGGTCGTAACCCTTGTCCGTGATGGAGGAACCACTGGGATAGGAGAACCTGCTAACCTTTCAGCATCCTTGGAATGGGAGTATGCTTTCTGCTTTGGAGAACAGCCATCTTTCTCTCTCCTACCACCCAAGGGGGTCCCTGCTGGTGAAGGCAAGGACCGAGAAGGCTTGGAGGCCACCCTAAACCAGGAGAACATTTTTCTGCCACCTGCATGAGTGGCACCTGAGTGCAGTCAAAGATGAAAGATTCAATATTGAAAGAAATGGATACAGGAAGCATTCTAAGCTCCTACTTCACAACCTTAATTTCCCCAGAGGTATCTAGCACCCAGAGTTGCCTTATCCTTCATCCTATATTGTCTCCTGCTAGTTGCCAACAGCATCTTGACTCAGGCTTGGTTTAAACCACAGTTTGTTCAACAAGCCAGTGAAAATCAAGAAACCGAGCAAATTTCTAAACCATCCGGCATCCTTGAGGATTGGGGCGGTGGGAAGAGTGCACAAATACATTTACAAAAAAGTATAAGCAAGCATGCCTATGCAACCAATTCCTGATTTTTATCTTTTCCCTTGTAAACCAAGCTGTAGCATTTACTTTCCCTTTTGATTAAATTTAATTTAGTATTTATATTATTGATTTATAGATGTATAAGGACATCTGCACCCCCAAAGAAACTAATGCCTATCCCCAGACAAACAAACCATGGTTTCAAACAAGGGCTTCTTGCCAGAAACTATGGTTTCTTGGGGAATCTAAATCTCATGATAAATAAATGTGGGAATAGAAGGGGATTAAGCCACATTATGCTAATTCTATGTCTAGATAAGCGAATAACCCAGAATATTACACATTTCATAGGAACTGAATCCTGAAACTGAACATATCAACCAGTTTTTTCATTAACTAGTCTGCTCTTCAAACTGAGCTCAGCCTGTCTCAAAATTGTGGACCACATAACCTCTATGCCCCAGCAATGGAAAGAGCTTTTCTGTTTGCACCCTCCTGAGACCCAAAAGCTGGAATAGATTGAACCATTCGAGGCTGCATGGAGTTCCCACATCCTACTAAGTTAATATTTACTTAATCAGCCACTAAGAACTGAGGACAAATACCCTGAAGCATGACTTCCAACTCTCATTTTCTGAGATTGGTTTGTTTCTCTCGCTCCCCTCTGGGGGGAGGTTTCAAAGTATTTGTAGCAGGACTACCCGATTCTGGAACAGCTTTGTTCCCTAGGCCATCCGTCTGAGAAACTTGCAAGATTCTGTATACATCTGAACTAGACTACGTGTTTCTCTGTGTCATATATGTGGGGATATATAAAAGTATGTATATGTATGTGTGTGTGTGTGTGTGTGTGTGTGTATGTATATATTTATATGTATGTGTACACACACACACACATATCCTCCCACTTATGACTGTATGACTGTAACTTTGTCACTTGTATCCTTATGATTTATATTGACTGTTTCCTGGTGTGATTTGATTGCTTGTTGTACCCTATGACTATCATTAAGTGTTGTGCCTGATGATTCTTGACCCTTGACGAAGGTATCTTTTCTTTTATGCATACTGAGAGTATTTACACCAAGACAAATTCCTGGTGTGTCCAATCACACTTGGCCAATAAAAGAATTCTATTCTATTCTATTCTATTCTATTCTATTCTATTCTATTCTATTCTATTCTCTATGCATAATTTTGTATTTATTTATTTTGTCATGTTTATCAAGTGTATATCGGAAGTGGTGACCTTTTGAGAGCTGTATGCCAACAAAATTTCATTTTAATGTATGCCAGTGAGTGTACATTTAAAGTGACAATGAAGTTATTCAAAGTTCTAAGTTATGCAACATGCTAAGCTGAGATAAAGTAGAATCACGCCATGTGATGTGTGAACCTGGCCACTCAATTTTCCATGATCTGTAGCAGAAAGATCTGTCGCAGAAAGAGAATCATTTCTATCCTTAGATGTCTGGAGTGGCAAACCGAAAGAATTTGGTTTGCAATGTTTTCCTAGGGGCACAACTCTGCTTGTTCGTTAAAATCTTATTTACCAGTTCTCCCTTGGTGACGGAATCTCACAGAGGAGGCCCTGGGTATTTCTCCTTCCTACAGGTTAGGGCCTTTAATCTGATTCTGATTCTGCAAAACCATTGCACATTTGTGACTTTGATTCCCTCTCTCCGTCTCTCCAGCAAGCAAAGGTCTGTCCCATTTAAGCGTACCTTATCGTCCATTAGGTCAGCCCCAGGTGAGAAAAAGGGAGTGAAAAAGTAGAAAACTCCAACTATAAATAAAAGAATTCTCCAAAAGCAGGTTTCAAGGACAACACAAACCAAGGTAACATTCGCATGCAATTATTCTGACCTCATTATTGAAGGAAAGATCTTTTAACGTTTTGGAAAGATGATTAAAATTATCAGGTTTTTAACTCAAGTTGAAAACAAGAAAGAGCCTATCTACCCATTTTTTTTCAGAACAGATGTTGTTGACCAGCATAAATGAAAAGGACTCTTTCCCAAAATTTAAGAAAGTCAGGCATAGGTAGACTTATAACTAGAAAATTTGAACTTAGTTAACTTGTCAATGTTAAGACTGAGAGTAATGGGGTATTTACATTTTTAAATTGCATAGAGATTATTGTATGGTTGGCTGTGTTTAGTTCTATTTTTTTCTTTTAGTGGTGTTTGTCCAGTTTTACTTTGTGGAAGAGCACCTCATTTCGTTGCACCCGCTAGCGAGTGTAATGACAAATAAATTCTTATGTCTTATGTCAATTAGGGGCTTGGAAAGGAAGAAGTATTTTTATCTTAAGAAGGTGTTTGTCCAATCCACAGGACACAAAAGGCCCTGGACAGCTAGTCAAGAAGAGACTGGACAACCATTCATCTGAAATGTGTAGGATCTCCTGCTTGAGCAAAGGGTTGGACTAGAAGACCTCCAAGGTCCCTTCGAACTCTGTTATTGTATTATTCACGTGGCCCCACAAGATAACACAAAATATGGAGCAAATAAAGGAAGTTTGCTACAGGTATTCCTCGACGTACAACCACAACCCAACTTTTCTGCCATTAAGCGAGACATTTCTTAAGTAGATTTTGTCTCATTTTACGACCCTTGTTAAATGGGTCACTGCAGTTGTGCGGGCAGTAACGTGGTTGTTAAGTGAGCCTGGCTTCCCCATTGACTTTGCTGGTCGCAAAGTCCCAGGACACTGCAACTGTCATAACTGTGAGTCGGTTGCCAAGTGTCCGGAATTTGATCATGTGACCACGGGGAGGCTGCAACAGCCGTTCAGTGTGAAAAATGATTCCATTTTTTCAATGATCTCTTCTTTTTCAGGGCCATTATAACTTTGGACAGGTCACTAAAGGAACTGTTGTAATTCGAGGACTACCTGTATTTATATACACTAGCTTCATGACATGTTTCCTATTGTGATCCAAGACAATTCCTCTTCGTGCAATGTGGCCCAGGCCAGCCAAAAAGTCAGACAACATCTTAAGCATTCAAATGCAAGAGACAGGTATTTTGTTTACTATTAACAGCCAGCCTTCCCCCAATCCGTAAAGCACCAAAATTTAATATTTTAAAATGCTGTAAGCTGCCCGGGGTCTTGCAAGATGGGCGGCAAGTAAGTTCAATAAATAAATAAATAAATTTATACAATCTCCTCTAGTAAGATTGGAGAAGGCTTCATCCCTCGGAAACACAATCATTTTCAGAGGGAAAACCAGGAGAACGTACTAAGGCTCTCGTCGCTGAATTCGCTCTGCACCTGCCTGCGTGCCAGGCAGGGACGTAGCCACCCCAAAGAGAAGAAACATGAAAGAAACTTACATTTTTTCATAGAAGCACTGGCATCCAGGAAAGGATGGTGGAAAAATTCATCTTTAAAAAATAAAAATAAAATCAAAAATAAAACCTTTTGAGGTTGAATGAAAAGTCAATGGTAGTCAAGTTTGGAGAATGTAGCAGGTTACATTTCAATATTACATTTAAAAAAAACAAAACCCAAACCCAGATTTTAAAAAAATAAAATAAAAACACTCATTCTCAATCGGAAGTTGGATTTATGCTGGGAATTTCAGTTCATTATTGAAAGGAAAAAGAAAGAAACGTAAAATAAACTGGCCGCCCAGGTTTTTCCCTTTGGATTTAAGCAACGTCAAAACGTTTCTTACCAAAACTTTACGGCTAGAGGAAATGAAGGGGTTAAAAATTTGTTATAAACCTGAGAAGTTCTTACTTGGGAATAACGGAAGAGAAGTTTAGCAAAGCTGCCGCTTATCTAATAATATATGTAATCATGGCAGCAAGAATGATATTTGCCCAAAATTGGAAGGCAAGAGAAATTCCTAAGGAGGATGATACGATTGGTAAGATACTACAATGCGCCGAAATGGATTGGTTGACATTAGAACTGAAGGATAAAGATGAGTCAGAATACCATAAAATATGGAATAAATTTTACTATGGGAGGAAGATGAAAGGGAGTTCATAAAATTGGTATAAGAACTAAAGGTGAAATAGGGAGGATGTGAGGGACCATTTATTCAAGGAGTAATGAGAAAGAATTAAAAATTATACAGTTCAAATGTACAGTATATATGTATATACACGTATACAAGTGTACATAATTTCTTTCTGAATGTAATATACATTGACAAAAATGCATGTCAAAGAAGGCCACCACATTCAATGTTTTTAACGTGTACACTCAATAAAATTTATATATATATATATATAAAGCTTCTTACCAAAATCCATGCGGTCTTTGTAATTTCGTTGCAAGAGCCCTAAGAGCAATTGTCTCAAATGGACAGAAGTTTCCCTTGGGATGCTTTAAAACAAAGAAATAAACAAGTTTTAAAAAGAAGGAAGCATCTTGCTGTAACACTTTGGATGCCTAGCAATACACAAATACACTTACAAACACAAACACGTATGTAACATTTTCAGAATGCAGAATAACAGGGTTGGAAGGGACCTTGGAGGTCTTCTAGTCCAACCCTCTGATCAAGCAGGAGAGCCGATATCATTTCAGACAAGTGGCCGTCCAGTCTCTTCTTGGAAACTTCCAGTGATGGAGCAGCCACAACTTCTGGAGAGAAGCTAAGCTGTTCCACTGATTAGCTGTTCTCACTGTCAGGAAACGTCTCCTTAGTTCTAGGTTGGATCTCTCTTTGATCAGTTTCCATCTGTTGGCCTCTTGTGCTTTGAAGAATAGGAGACAGCCTCTGTGAGAGCCCCTCAAATATTGGAACTCTGTCTGTCTGTCTGTCTGTCTGTCTGTCTGTCTGTCTGTCTGTCTGTCTGTCTCTCTCTATCTATCTATCTATCTATCTATCTATCTATCTATCTATCTATCTATCTATCTATCTATCTATCTATCTCTGACTCTCTCTCTGACTCTGTCTCTCTCACTCTTTCTCTGTCTCTCTCTGTCTATCTGACTCTCTGTTTCTCTCTCTTTCTGTCTCTCTGACTCTCTTTATCTCTCTCTGACTCTCTCTGTTTCTCTCTCTCTCTCTCTCTCTCTCTTTCTCTGTCTCTCTCTGTCTGACTCTTTGTTTCTCTCTCGGACTCTGTCTCTCTTTCTCTGTCTCTCTGACTCTCTTTATCTCTCTCTGACTCTCTTTGTCTCTCTCTCTCTCTCTGTCTCCCTCTCGCTCTCTCTTTCTCTGTCTCTCTCTGTCTATCTGACTCTCTCTTTGCTTCTCTCTCTTTCTCTGTCTCTCTGTCTCTCTCTCTATTTATCTGACTCTCTCTTTGTTTCTCTCTCTGACTCTGTCTCTCTTTCTCTGTCTCTCTGTTTCTCTCTCTGACTCTCTTTGTCTCTCTCTCTCTCTCTGTTTCTCTCTCTCTCTCTCTCTCTCTCTCTCTGTCTGTCTATCTGACTCTCTCTGTTTCTCTCTTTGTCTCTCTCTCTGTGTGTGTCTCTGTCTGTCTCTGTCTCCCTCTTCCTAACAATGAGAACAATTAAACCAGTGGAATGGCTCATCTTCAGACGTTGTGGGTGCTCCAACACCGGAGGTTTTTCAAGAAGGGACAGGGCAGCCATTTGCCAAAAGAGTATAGGGTCTCAGGCTCAGCAGGAGTTGGACTAGATGACCTCTTCCAACTCTGTTATTCTGTATTCCTGCCCAGACAAATGGATGGCATTTGACACAAAACGCAGTAGCCTGTTTGGAAAAGTAAGATTCGGTCTCAGCATCATAGCAGCTGAACTGTTCAGTCTTTGAAACCAAACCCCCTCCAAGATCTGGCTGGATTTGATCCCTTGCTAGTTTTTTTTCCCACCCCCTCCAGTTGCAAGTAGTTGTCTTCTGCCATTCAACAAATGGCAGCATTTAACCGGGGTGGTAATTTTGGGGAGGGGTGTATGGATGTCTCCTGGATTTTCTGTCTCCCTTCCTCTCAAATAAAAAGAAATCAAAGAATCTGGAACCGCAGGATAAGCAAACCGCCCCTTTTCCCAACTAACTGCACGCAAGAGAGAAGCTTCCTCCCACGTCTTTTCAAAATCCTGGGAATTTCTAGGAAAGCTGCCCCCCCCCCAGCAGTTCCTGGACTACACAAGAGCAGCTACACAACTCTTTTGTCAAGTTGGGCCCCGGAAGACGTGAGGAGGAGGAGGAGGAGGGTTTTGCAGAAGAAAGAGCTCACAAATCTTGCAACACCACAATACAATCCCTTCTTCAGATTGTCCTCAAATGCCTTTTGGGTAGCTCGGCAGGCAAAAAAGATATTTTTCCTAGTTGGGGTTTTTTTCTTCTTCCTATCTTAATTAATTCTTCTTTTAAAAAAAAAAATGAAAAAGAGTAATTCTCCCATCGTTAGCTGCTGTCCTTTTCTGTGCTCCAAAGATTTTAAACCGATAGCAATAGCCCTTAGACTTATATCCCGCTTCCCAGTGCTTTCCAGCCCTCTCTAAGTGGTTTACAGAGTCAGCCTATCGCCCCCAACAATCTGGGTCCTCATTTTACCCACCTTGGAAGGAGGGAAGGCTGAGTCAACCTTGAGTCGGTCAGGATCAAACTCCTGGTAGGGGGCAGAATTAGCTTGCAATACTGCCTTCTAACCACTGTGCACCATAGAAGGAAGGAAGGAAGGAAGGAAGGAAGGAAGGAAGGAAGGAAGGAAGGAAGGAAGGAAGGAAGGAAGGGAGGGAGGGAGGGAGAGAGGATGGAAGGAAGGGCAACAGCACTTAGAGTTAAATACCGCTTCACAGTGCTTCACAACCTTCTCTAAGCCATTTACAGAGTCAGCCTCTTGTCCCCAACAATCTGGGTCCTCATTTTACCAACCTCGGAAGGATGGAAGGATGAATCAACCTTGAGTCAGTCAGGATCAAACTCCTGGTAGGGGGCAGAATTAGCCTGCAATACTGCCTTCTAACCACTGTACCACCAAGGAAGGAAGGAGGGAGGAAGGGAAGGAAGGAAGGATAATAGCAATAGCACTCAGACTCATATACTGCTTCACAGTGCTTTTACAGCCCTCTCTAAGCGGTTTACAGGGTCAGCCTCTTGCCCCCAACA